CCCCCCTCCCCCTCCCTCTCCCCCCTCCCTCTCTCCCCCCTCTATCCCTCCCCCTCGCTCCCCTCCCCTCCCCCTCTCCCTGTGTTACCCTCTAACAGATGGTAGGGGACCTACTGCCAGTCCCCAATGGGGGGGTGATGCCAGTTTGCCGGGAGATGGCACTGTTCCGGTGGTGACCGGGGAACGGGACCCTGCCCCGAGCTCTCAATGGGCACCAGCAGCTTCCCCGAACGGAGCCGGGACTGTCAGCCCCCAGGAAACAACAGGGAAACGCACAGCATCATCCCATGGGCAAGGTGAGACCAATGGCTGCCCCTCATTGGCTGGGGCTTCACCCTGGGTAAGGGCTTCGCTGGGGGTGGGCAATAAGAGGGGGGGTGGGGGGGGGGGGTATGTGCGATGACCGGAGTGGAGGGGTGGGAAGGGGAAGGCCCACTGGCTCTCTCTCACCCTCTCCTGCATTGCCGTAGCGCCTAATCTCACAGCCACTGCGGTCTGCTGTCCCCGAGGCAGTGCCCAATCTCTCCATCTCTCCGTGTGACCCCAAACAGCTCAATATCGCCTCCTCATGGCCTGAGCTGTTTGTTTCATCTTTTCACTGGACCTGGATCTGCTGTGTTTATTGCCTCATCCCTAGTTGCCCCCCTTGAGAAGGTGGGGGGGGTGAGCTGTCTTCTTGAACAGCTGTGGGTTGACCCACAATGCCCCTTAAGGAGGGAATTCCAGAGATTCTGACCCAGCGACACTGAAGGAACGGTGATATATTTCCGAGTCAGGGTGGTGAAGGGCTCGGAGGGGAACTTGCAGGGGGATGGTGTTCCCATGTTTCTGCTGCCCTTGTCCTTCTGGATGGAAGTGCTTGTGGGTTTGGAAGGTGCTGCCTGAGGATCTTTGGTGAGTTTCTGCAGAGCATCTTGTAGATGGTACACACTGCTGCGACTGAGCGTCGGTGGTGGAGGGAGTGGGATGTTTGTGGATGTGGTGCCAATCGAGCAGGGGCTGCTTTGTCCTGGATGGTGTCGAGCTTCTTGAGTGTTGTCGGAGCTGCCCCCATCCAGGGTAAAGTGGGGGGTATTCCCTCACACTCCTGACTTGTCGATGGTGGGACAGGCTTTGGGGGGGGAGTCAGGAGGGGAGTTACTCGCTGCAGGATTCCCAGCCTCTGACCTGCTCTTGTAGCCGCTGTGTTGATGTGGTGAGTCCAGGTGAGTTTCAGGTCAATGGTAACCCCCAGGATGTTGATAGTGGGGGGTTTCAGTGATGGTAACACCGTTAAATGTCAAGGGGGCAGTGGTTAGATTGTGTATTATTGGAGTTCAGTTGAATTTCAGTTCAAGGGGACAGAGCAATGGGTGGAGGTCCTTCGGGGGGTGATCCAGGCACCCCGCAAATATTTAACACTCAATATATCAGATGGAACAGAAAGCTGCCTTTTCTCTAAGTTAGAGATAGTAGGAACTGCAGATGCTGGAGAATCCGAGACAACAAGGTGCAGGGCTGGATGAACACAGCAGGCCAAGCAGCATCAACGGGTTAATAAAATGGGGGGGAGTAATTTTAAAACGGAAGGAGATGTGAGGGAAATTTATCTCGCCCTGAGAGCCGGAAGGGTCTGGAATAAATTGATAGTTGATCGTGGAGCTGAGAGGGTTGGTTTATGAGGAGAGATTGGGTAGACTGGGACTGTACTCATTGGAGTTTAGAAGAATGGGGCGGGGGGGCGGTGATCTTATGGAAACATATAAAATTATGAAGGGAATGGATAAGATAGAAGCAGGGAGGTCGTTTCCACTGGGCGGGTGAAACTAGAACGAGGGGGCATAGCCTCAAAATAAGGGGGGAGCAGATTTAGGACCGAGATGAGGAGGAACCTCTTCTCCCAAAGGGGCATGAATCTGTGGAATCCCCTGCCCAGAGACGCAGTTGAGGGCGTTGTTAAGGCAAAGATAGATTTTCGAGCAGGAGAGGGATTAAGGGTTAGGGTGAGCGAGCTGATCAGCCCCGATCCTATGGGATGGACCGAACGGCCCACTCCTGCTCCTGTTTCCCTGAGAGTCACCAGCGTGGGATCTCCTTCTCTCTCACAGGCCTGACAGCAAAGTCAGAGGTGGATCTCAGCAGCTGTTGTCCCCAGGCCAGTCGCTATGAGGTAAAAGCTGGACACTTCAACCGCTTCCAGAAGTGTTACCGAACGGTGAGAGTTTGTGGGACACTGCAAGAGGCCGTCATGTGAGTATGGTCCACACGGTGTCACCTCCTCTAGAGACGTCATGCTTCTGCCCCCCTATAACGGGGCTTGCTCACAGAGGAAAGCTCCCTCTACACTGTCCCCCCATCAAAAACTCCCAGGGACAGGGGGTTAGATATAGAGTAAAGCTCCCTCTACACTGTCCACCCTCATCAAACACTCCCCAGGACAGGGACAGCACGGGGTTAGATACAGAGTAAAGCTCCCTCTACACTGTCCCCCCATCAAACACTCCC